GTCTGCTACCGGCTAATTTGAGGGCGAATGGATCGATCCTAGGGGCCGTATTCAGAAACCGTTTTCGGAAGCAGATTACCAGAAGGAAATTGAGTGTATTGCCTTACACTCATTTTCCATTGTTCGAGTGGTCCGTACAACCCTCGAACCCAATTGATTTTCTCATTTATTTACAATTCTTGACTTGATGATATTATTTTAATTATTTCAGTATGGACATTTCATGTCAATTATTAATAGATCCCTTCATGTTCCAGTTTTCGGATTCCTTATAATTATTATCTTTTATTAACTCGATTATATACTTGCGATCTTGTTATTTTAATTATCCGCTCATTGAGAATTTGGCTCAACTAAGGTTTGTTTTGTCCTCGACAGGTACATGATTGTAGGTGGGATTATCACGGGATTGAGAGCAATAGAATATGACTATTTTGAAGACGACCTTGGATAGTATAGCAGTTTTTGTTTCTGTATATACTGTAATTGTATCCATGTCGTCTTAACTTTTAGTCTTACACATTTTTTATGGATATTCATAGTAGCTCTAGTTTTCACGTATATATTAGCTATTTTTCTTGTTATGTTTTCCTCCGTAACACACCATCCTCCGGCCAGGCGGGATGGGTGTTACAGTTTGTCCCACGTCTGCAGAGTAATATAAGGTGAACGAGATTTCATTCCTCCAAAAAAAAAGGATCTAAGGCTTAATTTTCAAATCGTCCTAATAAAATGCACTTCAAGTACTTTACTGTTTACTTCTTATTATCTTGGTTTCAAGTGTAAAAAAGAACTGAGTTAAATCTTTGAGAGTATGGGTATAATTAGGGAAGTTTGAGAGATTAGAACTGTGTGATTGTAATAATTTTCTCATAGTTAATTTTTTCTTTGGAGGCATGAGGTTTTCCTTCGGTTTTGGAGTTTTCCACCTAAATTATAGTGTTGTTTTTTTCTATTATTGTTCATTTTGTGCGGTTTTGGGAAATGTTGAGGCCAACTTCCCAACAAAGTGGTTRGATGAGATGTTGGTTAAAGGGTTCTTACTATGCGCTCTGTTTGATCCTTCACATAAAAGAACTATCACTTAGTCATATAGGAGGTTTTGGGTTAGAGGGTTCTTAATATACTCTATGGCTGCAGCTTTATCTGGTCTTCCWCATCATCAAAGAATTTATCTTGGTTACTTTGTATATAATAGAATTTTGTATGGCAGAAGTATATGCATATTTGGGAACTTTTACGAGTTGTACTACTCATAGGTTACAAGCATTTTCCTGCTATACAATATTGGTTTGAGATGCGTATACAATGTTGTAAAAATTCTCAAGTGCTATGAGGTTTGACGTGTAAAAGTTTGATGGAAGGATCAATTTTGGCTTGTGGCAAGTTTAAGTCAAGGATGTGTTGATAAAATTCGGGTTACATACAACATTGAGGGGGAAACCTGCTTCCAACGATGATTCAAGCGAGACTAGTAAAAGCGAGGAAGCATGTAATGCTTTGGATTTGAGAGCAGCAAGTAWTATTTGTACGTGTCTAACACATAATATGTTATGCAACCATGCGTAGGATATCAACGGCCAAAGAGCTCTGAGAGAAACTTTAGCAGTTATGTCAAGGCAAAATTATCTCAAATCAGTTGTATCTTAAGAAATATTTATCGTTTGGATGAAGGTATATAAAATTCAGATCATCCAAGTGTTCCTAACAATATCATTTTAGAACCGGAAGACATCGGAGTTGAGGTTGAAGATGAAGACAAAGCATTAGGCTCATATTATCTGTCATTTTCCTATGAGCACATATTATGATCTTTGCCATCTTCCTACGAGCACATATTATCCACAATCTTAATGGAAAAGTGTTTTTAGTCTACACTACATATTGATGTTGACCCATCATTCATCATTTCTCAGGTTTATCACAATCAAACTACAAACAATAAAAAGTATATAAAGACAAATATATTTTTTCGACAGTTCAAAGAATGTCAATTTTCAGGTACGAGGTTCGTGAAAATTGATGAACCAAACACTTGAACGATAAAATCTGATACTTAAACCACAAGTGTGGTGCCTGATTGGTTTGAGCTTGRCTTTAAAGGTCAAAAGTACCAGAAGGTCTCAGGTTCAAATCTAAGAAGGAATAAAAATCCCCTTATGGCCACGGAGGTTCAAATGCGGTGACTCCGGGCTATCTGCAAAGAAGGTGGTCGTCTTGGGATTAGTCGGCTCGCATAACGAGTTGGATATCCAGGTTAATCAAAAAAAATCTGCTACTTAGACTTATATTTGATTCGATTTAGCCAAAGGCTTTCAGACTTGTACGAAGTAAAAAAGAAAAAGCTACAAAGAACCTATTTTTAATAAGTGTTGGATCAAATAGCAAGAATAAATCGTAGAAAGAGTCTTCACCCGCATTCAATACATGAGATGAGACCAACAAGGGTGATGTTAAATCAAGGGAAGGTTTAAATGAAAGGACAATATTGCCCTCGTAGGTGTATGTATGTACATTCGTGGGGCCATTCTCTGTTACATTTTACACACTGTTATAGCCATATATATATATATATATATATATATATATATATATATATATCATCAATGAAAAAGAAACTTAAAACGTTTGAAGCATTACTGTATTTTTTATATTGTAATGACAAAATTCTCAAAATCTACCAATATCATATGAATGATTTATGTAATTTACTCTAAATAAAAATATCAAATTAAATTATACTGTAAAAAAACAGATCGAAACAAAAACCCATCAAGATACAACTCAAATCCAAGTGTTGACGTTCCCGTGTGTTAAGTGCTTCAACGACGAGATGAAGGGAAGGGAAGGGCATTCATAAATTTAGACATGTGCACCATCACTTATTGCAAAGTAGATTTGCATTGGTTTGCTTTTCCACGATAGTTGTGGACTGTGCAATGGAGACCCTTTAGAATATGACGTTTATCGTTTTTTAGATCCGAGTGTTGAGACTTGAACTGGCCCCGGATCCTTCGCTACTCGACCACAAACTCATGTTGCTACGTTGGAAACTTAATCTGAATGACTCGTGGCTAAGCGGTAGCGGCCGGTCAGGCAACCGTGGGATATCGATGTCACCTTCCAACATCTTGAGAGCTTCCCAACTCGTCGGTCGAAGTGCAACCATTGCATGGGCACAAAGTAATCCAATTCTCACAAATCGGCTCATTACGCCTTTCGGCAATGTCTCATCTTCTCCCATCGAATCAAAAACCTCATCCATCCGACCTGATCGCACCATCTCCCACGCCCAATCCGCAATTAAAACCGGGCCTGCATTCACTTCTTTGACCTCTTCAAGCACCTTTCTCCCACTCATAATCTCAAGAATGATGATCCCAAAACTGTATACATCACTTTTTTCAGTCAGTTGCCCATAGAGTGCGTACTCTGGGGCAACGTAACCATATGTTCCGGCAACTCTGGTTGTAATTTGCGATTGCCCGTCTCTACTTTGCTTTGCTAATCCGAAATCCGCAACTAGGGCTTTCATATTCGAGTCCAAAAGAATGTTGGTCGCCTTTATATCGCGATGAAATATAGCGGGTTTGATCCCGTTGTGCAAATAAGATAACCCTTTAGCCACATCGAGAATTATCGATTTTCGCTGAGGCCAACTTAACCTTCGGTTAGATGTCGTCTTATTAAAGATGTGATCATGTAAACTTCCATTCGGCATGTAATTGTACACAAGAAACTGTTCGTTTCCATTCATCGGATTGCTCGTTGCACAAAACCCTCTTAATGGGAGAAGATTTCGATGCCGAATCTTGCTTATGATCTCGGCCTCGTTTACAAAGTCATTGTCTGCTTCTATGTCCAAACTGGTCATCTTTTTGACGGCCACAACCGTCCCATCGGAGAGGGTTCCTTTGTAAACGATCCCGAATCCACCTTGGCCGATGAAATTTGCTCGTGAAAACCCATTTGTGGCTACATCGAGCTCGGCTATTCGGAACCATTTTGCTCCTGTGTTCGGCAAAACTCGAGCTTTTACGTTTTGAACATAATCTCTATGAAAAGCAGTTTGTTCTCTGTTGTTATTGCGTTTTCTATAAACAAAGATCACAACCAGAAACATAATAACTCCTACTGAAGCTCCAGAAATGGCGAAAATTGTGGTTTTCTTTGATCTTTTATTCGATCTGGATTTCAACAAAGGTATCCCAAGTACACAGTCCGCAGTCTGAATGTCTTCCGGCCCCAAACTGCTGACGATTCCGGCAACGTACAGTGCGGTGAAAGTGAAACATTTGGTCGAGTTTTGGCTTAACGAAACCAACCGAGCGTTGACTGCCATGCCGGCATCGAGGCACGAGCTGCAGCGGAGGAATCCGGTGAGGTCTTCGTCACAAGTCGAATCAAGGGTGGTGGTTGGACCAGCATATTTGACCCAATCCGATAACGTAACAATCTCGGCACAGTTCAATGGGTTGGCTACGAACTCGCTGGCGGTGGTGAGGCAGTCGGAGAAGGGTTGCCGGACGTCGACGGAAGAGAGGTGGGACTGGAAATCGGAGAGGCAAGAATTGGAGGATTGTAGGTTTGGGAGAAAGAATGTTGAGGTTTTCTTGAGGTGGTCGGCGAGACCAATACCGATGAGGCCTCGGAGAGTTTGGCAGCAGTTTTGGGTGGCGGTGGCGGTGGCGGTGCAGGCTGAAGTGTCCCATGGGAAGGTGTTCACATAATTGAAATCTATGGGGCATGACGTGGAATTTGTTGAAAGAGATAAAGAAGGGAGGATGAGAAGACAAAGGAGAAGGAAGAAATTCATAGTTGTTGATTTGTCCCCAAAGAAAAATGGTGTGCTTTTGTACTTTGTTCATCTTTCACAAGGTACAACTTCTTAAGCACAAGTTACAAGTTAATTTATGCATTTTTATATAAATAGTTTATTCGTTTCCCATTGTAATTTTATTTTTATTTAATCACTAGATTTTAAGGATCATTATTAGAATTGTCTAATTTTAAAAACCCATTATAAAAATGATTTCAAACATGATTTATATGTAA